AACAATAATTCAAACTAAATCAAAAGATTTTCACAACCACAAAATCGCAACAACCCTAGCCAAATAGATTTAGTTCATGGCTAGGTTTAAAAATAACATAATGAAGAAAAATCTAAACATAAATTGGGTAGAAAGGAAAAGAATGCGTGAATTGCTCCCAAAACCGAATCTTCCTTCTCAATGCGTCTTGGATTCCTATTTATAGGAGATGGGTCGGTCTAATTGATTCTTGTTGAAGGAGAATTCTAATTGGAATAAAAGAACTATTAATTCTCTTTAATCTTTATCTTTAAGCTTCCTTGCAATCAAGATTTCTTTTCTTTTTTAAACTCTACGTGGGAGTCCAAACTTTTAGGCTTTAGCTCTTGTTTTGTGGTGCTTATGAGGTGAATTTATCCAATTAGTTTTATCATGCACAAAATAACACAACTAACAGCATCTTTTCCACAAGAAACCAACCAAAACGTAATATCAAACTTAAATGTGAAGAAAACTATGAAAATCATGCATGAATAACTAATAATGCAAATAGATCAAACTTAAATTTAGCAATAACTATGGGTAAAAGGGTAGAAAATATAGTACTTTTATACGCTTAACACCATGTTTGAATTTACGTCCGAACACGGTCACTTCAAGATGAAGAGTCAGAGCAACATTGTTGTACATAAACATCTGCCATTTCCGTTCCTTTTATTCCTTAATTACCAGCTAAGATATGTTGTTTTCTGGTTTTTTCTGCAGGTACTGTTCCTGGAATTATATCAAAACTTCAAGAGGGAATACAACTTCAAATGCCTCTAGTCACCTTCCTACGGGACTTATTTTAATGACTCGGATAGTTACCATTCCTGAAATCCTTGAAGTATCACGATGAAGATATTACTTTTTATGACATTATCGATTATTCACCAGCTTAATTCTTACAAGACTTCATCACTAAGAAAATTTGAACAAATTACTCAATGAACAAGCTCTTGTTCTTCATGTATAGCCCCATTATTCTAATAAAATACCATCTATATGATTAATAATCCTATTTTTTCCCATATTTCCACTGTATAATGACTAAAGATATGTTTCTTGTCACTATGTTTGCCCAATGAAATGAATATTGATATGTCTTTCTAGGCTGTGAAAGGAGAGAGCATAAAGGACCACACTAAGACTACCATAAAGATAAAGCTGGTGAGAATAGAAAATGACGGAGGAGGCATTGTGTTGGAAACTTTAAGTCATTGTTGGGGGGCAACAAAGGTGATAGAGATGAGTGAAAAGGGGTCGGAGCTAGTGACCGAATGGCCCAGCCAGCCGCCCAACTTGCCTGCAGATCTTCAAGCTCTCTTTGGCAATACTAAAAGAAAAAGACGTTAGATCTGTTATACGGTATTAAAATTAGGATTACACCTAACATTCTCGATCATTACGGATTCCGTTAATGGTTTTCTCATCATTTCTCCGACTCTTTCCAAGAAATCTGGTTGATCTGTCTCCATTCTGATATCAGTTTATAGTGGAATCAAAATTGGTCTGGCATTTTGCTTTTGTTTGTCTTGAAGCTAATTATGTGTTTTTGCCACTTCCAATCAGTTCTATGCCCGGTATGCTTAAAATCTATGTTGTCCCTCACGAATCCGGATTCTGGATTAAGTGTCAAATACCGATGCGTGTTTGTGTTTGGCATGTGTTGAGTGGTATCGAATTAATAGTAGGACCAAAAGAATCAAGGGTGTACCAGAATTTCGTATGCTTGCTTCTCAAGTTTCCATGAGAATACGAACCATTCCAATCTAGTTGAGGGGAATTCATGCTGTCCACTGTTGTTGAAATATTAATAAATGATGCCTAACAGCTGGCTTGTAGAACAAAAGGACATTGAATATGAAATGCAGAAGCTTGTCTGAGATTGAAGAGAACAAAAACTTGTTGCAGAAAGCAACCATATGATTTTTTCAGAACTAAGAATTAATAGATAAGATTTGTATACACCTGTAATATGATGAATAGGAAGAAAATGAGTTGATGTTGACAGTGACAGTGCTCACTCCCTTGTCCAAAAGGCGGTAGATATTTGGATTTGTCACTCTGCAACAAATTACTGTTTCCCATGAACATAAAATGATTTTTTTCCCATTTTTAAATTTCTGGATCATCACTGTTTGGTAGCTCGCAAAGGCATTAAAGGAAGGGTAGTAATAATCCATGGCGATATCAAAATGTAGATCCCGATCTGTGGTGATTATTCACAAGCTGGTTTGGTGTCAAAGCAGCTTAGACTGATTGCAAAAGCTTGAACAGAAGGTAAGGGTATAGATAATCCATGGTGAATATGTCTTTGCCGATTTTTCCAAACTGTAAGATCACCTTCTCTTGCTCTTCAGGTGATAGAGGGTATCGATAATCCATGGCGAATACATTTTTTGGTTTAATATATGAACTTCTAGTAAACTTTAACCCGAGTTAATATTTATAATCATCCAAAGCATGTACATATTCTTTTAGGAGAACCTCCAATATTTAACCTATAATATATTTAACGTACTAAAATTTTATTATTAGAGATTGAAGAATATTCGACCTTAGCTTAGTTGGTAAAGCGGACGACCGTAGTGTGTTCCATCATTGTCATCCTTAGGTCGCTGGTTCGAATCCGACAAGTAAATACTACTTGATGAAGTAGGAGACAGAAAGAATATTAAACAAACAAATACTCGGCTAAAAATGAAGTAGCAGTCGAGAGATGAGGAATGTAAGCAAAAAAGAAAAACATGTTTTGGGATTGCATTTGAAGACAAGTTATTGCAAGTTATATCGTGTTCTGTCAATATGTCAAAGCTCTTTTATATGAACTATTCCAAGTTTGTGTACTGATCAATGAGTTGATAATGTTATGGTCTCTCCTTCCTCACCATTTATCTCCACAAGTACATTTGCCATCCTTAAAATGGTGGAACCTAGTTCTATCCCTCGTGACAATCTCCCTATCATATATCTTGGAGATAAGCTTCGTAACTGTGTGGCAGTCCTCGCATATCCGGAGATTCTTGACAATCCTAATCGTCGCACCAGGTTTCGTTCTATGTAATCTGAATGCAATAGCCAGCTTCTCGCTGTGCTGATTGATTGCCATTTCTTTGGCATCGTCTTTGAGATCAAGCAGTAGGTTCTGCAATGCAGGTTTATATACTTCCTTTTCAAGTCTTACAGCAATACTGTCCCACGTGCGGTAAATCTGTTTTGCCTGTGGGTGGGACTTGGTTCCGGCTAAGAATTCATGTACAACCCCATTCAGACTTATTGCACTGCAACCGGGAAGTTTCGAGACGCCTCGTTCTTTCATGTGCCTCCTTGTTTCAACTGCACGGTCCCAATCCCCTGCTGCTGCATGAATGCTTGCCAAGTGAATATACCGGCCAACGGCATTTGGTTTTACTGGCATTTTCTCAATCAATCCCTTTGCTTCTTCCAGGGCCCCTGCTCGGCCTAGTAGATCAACCATGCACCCATAGTGCTCTATTCTTGGCCTTAATTTATGAACTCTTTCCATGCTCTCGAACAATTATTCTCCTTCATCGACCAATCCAGAGTAACTACACGCTGTTAAAATTGCAGTAAAAGTGACATGATTCGGCTTGATTCCTACCTTCAGCATATTCTCAAACCAGTCCAGCGCTTCTCTTCCATGTCCGTGAATTGCAAATCCATAAATCAATGCGGTCCATAAAGAGACTTCTTTTTTCTTCACTTTCTTAAAAACCTTTAAAGCTTCCTCCATGTCACCACACTTTGCAAACATGTCTATAAGAGCACAGCCTAAGATTGGGTTGATCACGATTCCGGTTTTGTCAATATATGCATGAATCCATCTCCCTTGATCCAAAGCTCCGACATACGAGCAAGCAGAGAGAGTGCTTGTGAGGGAAACTTTATCAGGTTCGGCGCCTTCAAGCTGCATTTCTTGAAATAAATTCAACGCTTCCTTGTACATGCCTGCCCCAACATATCCAGAAATCATACTAGTCCAAGAGATAACATTCTTTGTTGGCATGTTTTTGAAAACTTCATATGCGATTTCCATCTTCCCACACTTTGCATAGCCATCAACCATTGAGTTCCAAGAAACAATGTCTCGTTCCGAGACCTGGTTGAAGAGCAGACGTGCAGCTTTGATGCTGCCAGAGGATGCATAGACATGGAGCAAGGAATTCACAGCATAAACCTCCAAGCCAAAACCGAACTTTATGACATGGGCAATAAGTTGCTTGGTTTCTTCCATAGCTGACAAATTGGAACACGTTTCAAGCAGGAAAGTAAAAGTGTAAGAATTGTGTGGAACTGAAAGATGCAGCATTTGCTGAAATAAATGAAGGGCCTTTTCTGATTTGTTGTTCTCTGTGTATCCTTTAATCCTGGTGTTGTACATGAACATAGTAGGCGTATTCACTGTATTAAAAACCTTCTGGGCGTGTTCTAGATTACCATATTTCGAGGACACACAAAACGTTAGTACTTTGCTTACTAAGATTGTATCTGCAACAAGACCAGTTTTGAACATATGTACATGAATCTGCTTGAGTTCATTTTCAAACATCGATCAAGCACAGATAGGGTTTGGGTGGCGTTTAATTCCAGGGACAACTGCTTTGTCGGAGATGAAGTGATGGGTGTCATTTATTGGTTAATAAGGCAATGATATTAAAACAAAGCTGATGAATAAAAGTTTCTTTCTTCAATCTAATTTACAAATGCAGATAAGGTTTTTGGTAACTTCATATATATATATATGGATATGCTTACAGTTGCTCTGTGTGGTCCTTATTTGTTATCTCGTCAAGCTATCGCCTTTCGAAAAAGAAGTTTGAACCACAAGTTAAAAGCATCAAGATACATATATATTCTTCATCACAGCCGAAGTAAAACAAGGAATTTACCATTCAGGTACATGTAAATAGCCGTCCTATAAGTGCAGGACAAAAGAACTAATTTTGTGTCAAAGATTGATACTTTAGAGAAGGAGAAACTTGCAAGCTTTATTGTATTAAATTCAGGTTCCCTTGTACATTTTTGCTGTTGGAGTTTCACAAAAGAGAGAAGAATGAACTATAAAACTATGACAACCTTTGTTGTAGCCATTGATAGCATATCAGTTTATTACCATCAAATTTGAGACAGACTGTTGGTTTTTTTGGGCCTTCTCAGCTTCAAGCTTCCTTAATGTTGTTGAACTCAACTTGCCTCCACTACATTCTTCAGACACTAGATCTACAACTTCAATCTGCAAAAATGGGCACCATTTTGTGAAAATTGTAAAGAAGATTTGTCTGACAATCAAATACTACATACATCATAGAAATTAACCAGACAAACAAACCTTTAACTGTGACAGACCTCTTTCAGCTCTTTTCTTATTAACTGATACTCCACCTGGTAATGTCTCCTTGCTGTCAAGAAACTACTGCAGTTAGCCAAAGGATCCACTAGCATTATCTAAGGTTGAATTATAGTAAATACATTGCCAAAAGGGGACAAAACCAGAAAAGAAAAATTAAACCGAAACTGAAAGGACCAATCCATCAATGGATTTTAAAAGGCAAGCCAAAATTTTGCAGTTCAAAGCACAAGATCCAGAAAGCAAAGTAAGCATTCATGTGATCTAAATTAAGAATCAACTATCTTATATTATACACTTGTCTTAATATGATCAATGAATAGCAAATTAATCAATGATGAACCTGACAACAATGGCCTCCAAGTTTTCATCAATGATTGAAGGTCCATAGGGATCTGTAATAGGTTCAACTTGCACTAACAGCACTGATTTGATAGACTGCAAAAGTGTAAGCAAAATTATTTATAAAAAAAAATCATGGTTTTCTGATAAAAATACCCCATAGTTTGATTTCATACCTTAATGTAAATCTCAACCTTGCGCATCCTTTCGTCAATGGGTTGAATCAATTCGGCTAACTATAAATGAGAGAATGATTACTAGAGTTAATAAAAGGTCTTTTCTCTTAACCTAATTCAACCAGGCAATCAAGTTTAGTATTTCGATTATTTCAGAGTAAAAGCCAAGAACTTCATATAAAATAAGCAAAGAAATTACTTGTTTTTTGGTCAACATGGAGCCATCACAAACACCCACCACGATTCGATCCCTGGCAAGCTCCGCTGCTGACTATTTCCCACAAAATTTCGTTTCTTTCATATGAATTTGGATAAAGAAATAAAAGTAGAACACAAGCACTAAGAAAACAGAAAGAGAAAGAGGTAATTTTGTTAGCTTTACCTTGAGGAAGAGGCGGTGACCGTCGTGCAAACGGTCGAATGTGCCACCGAGAACGACGGCGCCATACGAATTTGGAGGCAATAGTTTCGTATTCTCCAAAGTTGATTGACCCGTTTGCTCTTCCAACAGCGTCATCTGTATGAGACAGCCGGAACACAACAATCAAAGGAAAATGAGACTCTCCTTCCGTGACCGTTCAATTTAGAAGAACAAATGGGAATATATTGACTTGGACTAGGTACGTCGAACCTAGACTACTTCAATCTTTTTGTTCGGGAGTCAGGGTCAGTCTAGTTTAGTAGGAGAGTTTTACCTTTCAGGTACCTAATTCCGGCTATTCAGTTCCCGCCGTTTTTTTTAATGTTTCATGATTCTTATGGAACGACTTCGCTAACTTCCTTTCTTGTTTGCATATGTAATGTAACTACTTAAGATATATGTCTTTTTGTTTATTTTCACAAATGTTTTTTCTCTCTCGGTTCTAAGATTTTATATTTATTAATCTGAACCGACTCACGTCGCATTCTTAGTTTTGATGGGTAAACCTTTCAGCAAGAATATTTTACATACACAAATACTCGAACTCAAAATTTTGCTTAAACGACATCAATCTACTTACTACTTGAATCAACTCTAGTTGCTAAATGATTTTTTATTATTTTTAAATTTTGGATAAATTGCACAAATTTATCAATACATTATATTAAAATAATTTGTCATTAGATGATATATGTTTCATTTCTTAGTGATTGGCTAAATAAAATGAATCATGTTATGTTTATGATAGTGTATATAAATATAAATTTAGTGTATGTGAGTGTATAACTAGAAGATAAAAAAAAGGTGTGGTCTAGTATGTTTTATATTAATCTAGTGAATGTCTTAACTTGTAAAATGGGTTGTCTCTCTTTATATGCTTAAAACTTGCTTAATTACTTTGACGTGTATTTTGACAAAAGTTTGGTGTGGTTTTAAAACATGTAAAGTTGAGAAAAACACACGTCATCTGCAATTTAATGTTAAAAATATCGAAATTTAAATAGAGATATCGACACTTTAAAATAAACTTAAATTTTAGAAAGTTGAAATCCGAAAATAATATCCTCCTTCAATATCTAACTTTAACATGGTCAAATTTGTTGTGTGACCTTATTGTTTATATGGTTTAGCATTTTTGGACATGAATTTTGATTAGTTTGCAGTATGATCCTTAATTCCTTGATTAGTCTAGGGTATGATGATATATGGTTGAATCCTGCTCCAATTTGTCTTCGATTGCCCCGATATTGAAAGTGACAAAATTGGATGAGAGGTTTTGGTTAGTTGGTTTTTTAGCTATTAATGTTATGTCTTTTTATTTTTTTTTTCCAATATAATCCCTGAATATGTGCACAAGTTTTGTTCTTCTCTTCGATATAATCCCTGCAGATGCATACCATGTCCACGCGATCGAGCCAGCTGCGAGCGTATCCACCAGGATCAAGGCTAAAATTCGAAGAGCAACCGAGGCTGAAAGGAAAATGCCACTGTTCCTCCTCGGGATAAGGTAGTCTTACTTGGAGATGGAAATTCCAAAGGTAAATATGTACACAAGCTTTGTTCTTTTCGATGACACCTGATTTTCTTGTGCTTAAAATTGTACTTCGATTACGAGGGAATGGCTTGAACATGCTGATGTAACTTACAGATCAATGACATGATTGGAGCTTATAGAGCTATGGTGTTTTTCCATGTTTCAGCTAAGGTGCAATTTTCCAGCCTATCAGTTATTGTCCACTAGCTGCGTTTGACAGTTTAGGTTCTTGGTTTTTTTTAATTAACGGATGACAAGCTGTTTTATCCAGTAGTTTTTCCTTGCATCTGAAGCCAACGCGTTTGGAGTTTTAGTAACAAAATTGCTACTGGAATTTTAGTTCAGATTGCTGGAAATTGGAATACGTCTTATAGTAGTACTAATGTTTTTCAGACCCTTCATGCCACTTGCTACAACATAAAAGAAACATTAAGTTTTGTCTGAAATCCAAAATATTATGACATGATTGGAACGTTACCTAAAATGTTAATTTCGTGACATTTTAACGTTTTCGGTTATAACCGGAAATGTTATGGAGAAAGTAACATTTCCGGTTGCAACCGAAAACGTTAAAAGATTAACATATTAAATAACGAAATTAACATTTTAATTAACACTCTACCATAAATATTAAAAAAATATTAAATTTCTGATCACACGTTTTCTTAACCTTCTCAGAAACCAAACAAGGGTTCTTCTAATTAGGGATGGCAACGGTGAGGTTTCGGGCCAGAGATTGGTCCCCCGTCCCCGTTTAAAAAACTCGTACACGTCCCCGCTTAAAAAATCGCGGGGATTTAAACGGGGATCCCCATCGGGTAATCGGGGAAAATCACGGGGAAACGGGTATCCCCGTTTAGCATAAACAGTTATTTAAATGGGTAATTTTCACCGTGGGGATAACAGCGGTGAAAATTATCCGTTTAAATAACCGTTTACCTTATATGGTTATTTTTCACCGCGGGGATCCCCGTTACCGTTTAAATTTCACACGATGATACGAGTTATTTATAAAATAATGTCATTATCGGATCTAAACTTACTTAAAACGCCAAAAACCACCAAATGCATCCAAAATATAAAAACAAAACAATTCAAATAGACTAATAATATAATGTTTCAACTTTCATAAACAAAATCATTCTTCCAAGTTTCAACTTTCAAGTCACGTCAACACCACCACCACCGTCATCAAACAGTTGTGATCCCCGATTGCTCTAATTACACAAAAATAATTATAAGCCACCAAAATTTATATAAAAAAATTAATGATATCACGCATAACTTGTATATCAATTTAATACCTCGTCACCATCATCACGATCATATTCGATGCTTTTACAATATGCTTCGGACTCTTGTGAGCAAATTGTTGTATTTATTAATTTATACAACATATCATATCAATAATACAATTGAAAACAATAATCTTATAAGTAAAAGAAATAATTAATTACCTCTTATTTCGTTTATTAACCAACTTTGGGCACACATTAACAGCGGAGCAGGGAAGGTGAAGATCAACGAAGCAAGATTTGAGAACAGCCGCAGGAAAAATGACGAGTAGATTGTGTTATCCTAAATCATAATCTCCTTTATATATATATACTTTAATTTAATTTAAATTTATTAATATTATATATATATATTAATTTAAATTAAATTTATTAATAATTATTTTTAATATTTACCGAGTGAGATATAAAGCCGGGATCAAATAGGGTATTCAGATAATCGAGACAAAAATTACCAAATCCGTCTCATTCCCATTTAAAAAATTCAATTTTTTCCCGTCTCCTTTCCCCATCCTCGTTTATCATCCCAAACCTAACCCGTTTAATTCCATTTTCCCCCGACGGATTTGATTTTTTTTTTGCCATCCCTACTTCTAATGCTACACTCTCCACCAAGCGAACAACAAGTTGAAGTTGTAATGGCGCAGCCAACTTGTCCAGAAGAACCATGTACGACAACGCTTTCGGCGGTACACCAAGGTTCTTTAACGGTGGTGGTCGTGGCCCCATTTTGTGGCCGAGACCGCAGGATTACACCGAGATTTTCGGCGGATTTCACGCGTCTCGAGGTTCGTCGATTCCGGTGTTGGATCTTCCCTTGATGAACGACATCAACGAGGTTATGTTTGAGGTATGAAATACGAGGTTCAACTACGCGGATGTTTTCGGCGGATCTGATGACTCGGATTTCCCTGCTTCGTACGAGGACCTGATGAAACGAGCCAATGCTGTTGATGATCATGATCACGATCACGATGGCGATTCATCTGATGAAGCTTGGTATACTCATATCTTACTTATTTTTTTGAAGTTTTTTCTCCTCTGTGCTTTATGCTAATTTTTGCAACAAAAACGAGTAAATAGTTGGATCTTTGATAAGATAGTATGCTAGTTACACTACTGCAAAGTTTTGATTTCTCCCCCCCTTCGTTCTTTGGGTACTCAATCATGATGCATTTGAATTTGAACTTTGTTTTTCCTTTTAAATTTAACTCCTATTAGTATAATGGCTAGAATCAAGTATTTGTGTTTTATGGTAAAAGGAATACTGAGTTTCCTACTGGAAAATTTAAATGTTCTTTGAGGAATCTAAGAGGGGTGATTCTTAGTTGTACTCATTATCCAATCGATTTTTTTCTTGGATTCCGGGCTTTTTCTTCTTCAATGAAGTGTAAAATGCGTAGAAGAACCTCTTCGGAAATATGTTCTTTCAGTGTTTGAATTAGGCATTGTTTTGAATATCCGTGGCATGTTAATGCTATGATGGTTCTTTGTAAAGCTCAAGCAAAACTGAAGAGTGCAAAAGAACAACTGGAAAGGAAAAGGGAAGGCGCAAAATGCTCGACCTAACCGGGTTCAAAGTCTGATGGGGAAAGTAAGAAGGAAAGGGCCAATAAGACTGTTGAGGGTTCCGGACCTTCCGGTGATATAGAAGTCGAGAGAGTGCTATGTATGGATGGAAAAGAAGATAGTGGAATGAAAATGCATGTTGGAGAGGAGAGGCAAAGAGCTGCGAAAAGCCAGGCAGCTGATTTTCTAGAAGGCGAGAAACTTTTTAATGCACCCAAAAGATTTGTAGTTGAGAAGCTTGGGAATGAATCCCAACCGATTCACGAGTCTGTTGAAATTGATGAAGCTGATGAATGGCAGGAAGCAGCTCAATTTTTTGAATTGGTTAGGACAGACAAGTCAAGAATAATATTGGAGCAGATGAATAATGAGAAAGTTTTGGTCCAGAGCATTAAATCTCATGAGCTCCAACATAAAGGCAAAAAAGCAAACATCGGGGCTTTGGAGCAACAACCAGACAGTGATGAGAAAGTAGAAGCTGTTAGGGAAGACCACGAGCTCGAGAAAGTTGAGAGGGACATGAAAACGGCGAAAGAAAGTTTTGAAAGGGGGGAACCCACCAGAATATCGAAACCTGTTAAAGAGGTCCGTAAGCATAAAGGGCATGAAAAGAAGGTTAAAGCAGCTCAAGAGGTTAGTGAACTAGAGGAGAAAGCTCTAACAGCAGGGAAACCTTTTGAAAACGGTAAGAAACTAGCTGGAACTAATGAATTAGGAATATGCGAGCAGCAGATAAATGTTCAACGAAAAGGAAATATGGTTGAAG